CCCCTCTGGCTAATAATATCTAACTGGAGAGAACACCACAGTAACTCTGGGGTTAAGCAGACAGGCGGCACAGGGCCGCCCCGGGAAGCTGTGGATTTGGGCTGAGGCATCGGACACTGCAGCGGAAAGGCATCCTTGGAGTGCCGGCTGTGCGGAGGGCCGGCTGCTCCGACGACATCTTTGGAAAGGGGTTGGGGCGCCCAGCGTGTGGCTGCCCCTCCCCTTTCTTGCCCTGAAAACAGCGCTTGGCGCCCCGCTCTCACTCTTAAACCCTCTCTCACTCTTCCAGAGCTCTGTGTGTGTTCAGAGTTTACACTTTCTAAACTCTATCTCCCTAAAATTCAGTTCCCTCAGGAACACTTTAAACACAGCCCTCTCACTGAGGTCCTCAGAAGACAGCTTATTGAGCCATCCTGGAGGCAGGGAAGAGGAGGGGCAGCCGCATGCTCAGCGCCCCTTCCTCCTCCCGAGGTTGCCCTCGGAGCCGCTGGCCCTCCGCATGGCCAACGCTCCGAGGGCAACCTCCCGCTGCAGCGTCCGGACACGCTGCGGCGGAAAAGTCAGCAAAAGTGCACCTCACACTTTTGCGGTGCACTTTCACTGACTTGTGAAAGGAGCGCTATTTTGGCGCTCCTTTCAGGGATGGGGAAGGAGCGCCGCAGGATTGAGGTGTGGGGATGCCTCGATCCTGCGGCGCACCTTCCCAGGGCGGCCCCATGCCGCCAGTCTGCTTTCCCCCTAACTTAACTTTCCCAACACACCCTCTAACCCAAATCTTCCTCTCCCTAACTGTCAGCCTGGGCTTTTATACTATTCCCAGCTGAACTCCCATTGGCTGGCTCTCAGCTGCCTCCTGGTTGGCCAGCTGGACCTCTGTTCACCACAGCGGTAGCCCAAAAAAAATTGGGGACCAGTCCTCTAGAATTAAAAGATTAACAATGTTTGCTTCTAGAGAGCTTCAGCCAATTGTAGACCATATTGGGCTAGTGGAGAGATGACTTGAGACAAGGCAACTTTGTTTGTTTGTTTGTTAAATCACATGATGTGCACATGTGCAAACCAGCCTAAACAGATGCTGCATAAATGTTCCAATAAGGCAGTGAAAGAAGGTTGTCTCCCAAAGAGTTTACTTCCAAAGCAAGGAGGTTTGTTTGTCTTCACCATCATGCATGAACAGTACAGTGTGCTCTATAAGCAAAGTTGCCTGGATGGAGGATGTTGGTTTTGGTTGTTCTCCCTGTTGTTCTTTCAAGTCTTCCTTTCACTAAATTATTGATAGTGCAGATGTCCGTCCCTCCCATTTAAAATCCTCTCAATGACCTTTCAAAGCATTTCTCAAAGAAAGGAATTCTGTCTCTCAATGAATGAGAGCTTGCTATAGTAACGTACACATGCATAAAGAGAGAGAGAGAAAAATGCAGGGAAAATAATATATGCACAATGAGGTGCAAAAATTGATGCATAACTTGTTGTTGAAGGAGACTATTACATCTTCTTTGCATGAACAAAGATTTTCCCTTTCTTTTGATAGAAAAGTCATATTTTGATTGTGCACTCAATTTAGACATGACTTTGTGGAAGTTCTTTCCTTTGCTCTCAGTGAGAAAAGAACATACAAAATGTTTTCCATAATGAAAAAGGAAGACAGTTGCATACATTTACATACTAACTTCAAGTGGTATTTGAACTTCTACCACGTGTGGACTATGGATCTTTTTAATGTCAAGAGCTGTACAACTGCTTTTCTAGAATAGTTCATGAGCCTTTTCCACTTAGAGCTTTTGTATAAATCTTGATCTGCTTACATAATTTTACTCTAACAACAGTGAATTGTTTTGCCAGAGATCTAAGTTGTCATGACTGATTCGCAGATCTGCTGTCTAAAAAACCA